AGCCGCGGCGGCTGAGGTTGGCCCAGAGGGAGAGGAGGAGGAGGACCGTGAGCTTTTGAAGGGTGTCAGCGGCTATGAAGCGGAGGTTCATGGCGTAGGGATTGTTGGAGGAGATGAAGTGGAAGGAGAGCAAAGGGACGGCGAAGAGCGCGACGAAGCGGTTGATGCCGGAGCATTGATCGGGGCTGAAGATCTTCCACCATTTCACGGAGCCGTAGGCGAGGATCATCGCCACGTAGAGGGGGACGATGGCGGCGAACACGTCGTAGATGTCCTTGCCGTTGATCATCTCGATCTCTCGGGTCGATTTGTTGTTAATTAATGACGATGATCGATCGATCGACGACGCCGGTGATTAGCCAGCCAGCTACTCACTCACTTATTTAGCTTAGCTGAGCTTAGCTTAGCTAGGAGGAGCTAGGAAGAGATTTGGATGGAGGCGGCATGCGCGGTCGATTTCTTTGTTGTTGCTGTTTTTGTGAGAGAGAGAGAGAGAGAGAGAGAGGGGGCGAGGGCGTGTGTGTGTGTTATATAATAAGGGAATCCGTTGAGCTCGAGAAGGGAAGGAGAGAGAGAGAGAGAGAGAGGGGGCGAGGGCGTGTGTGTGTGTTATATAATAAGGGAATCCGTTGAGCTCGAGAAGGGAAGGGGCAGTTTAGGAAGAAACTGTGGTCATCGAAAGCATTTCCATACCGTTAAGATCGATGATTAGTTACTGTTATTTACGGGGCCCACACCCGAGGGAAGCATTCCGATTGACGAATCTCCGTAACCGATCGAGCTAGCCAGCTAGGACGACGCAGGAGGACTTCCGGCTAGCGGGCGAGGCCCGGTTGAATGGGTGCTTGGCTCGACTGTTGGCTGCCTGCAGGATTTGTGTAGCTATAGCTAGCTAGTTTTGCACGTGGTGGGTTGTCGTTCGCGCCCTCGGCACCCATTCATCCGCACGCGCCTCTTGCTCGAATTGATCAGAGAGAGGGGTTACGGAAACGGAGGTCATGACCCTGAAGACCCTAGAGTTCAGTTGTTTAGGGCGGTGCTTACACGACTACTCAGGCTCAAGTTACACTATCGTAACCTTGATCGAAGGAGGACGTTACGCTAGCTGGATTCCATATATATATATATACACGTATATTTGACTCAAATTGTTACATTTATAGAAAGAGCAATAGAACCTCTCATGTCGTATATATCATGTAAGATACGGGAGCTCCTTCGACGAACTTTTAATTGTTGCAATTAATTAGCAGGGAAAAAAATTCACCCTGTTCTTCTCTCTGGCTCAGCAGACAACGCGCACGCATCTTCATCTATAACCTCTCTCTTATTCATATTTGATTAGCATCTGCTATATACAATATATGCTTAATCTAGTGCCATTAAAGAGGCCTTAATTAACAGCAACCCCCCCTCCCCTCCGCTCCCCTCCCCTCACGTACGCCTCTTTCTGCTTCCCTTTCCTTTCCTTTCCTTCCCATGGGATTTTTAAGCCAGTAGAGAGTGAACAGAATGCTCTGTCGCATAGGGGGGTTATTGGTCGGGACAAATTGGGACCAAGTGGGAACATTGTTCTAACGGAACAATTTTATCCCTTTGGAATATTTTGAGTGGGGGTAAAGTGGGATAACGGGACACATTAAGCCTTTGATTTGACAATTCATGTGGGATAATTAATGATGTAAAATCTTATTAAAATATAATTTTATCTAATAATTACTTCTAAATTAATTTATCCAATTGGTTTAGTATATTATTATAATATAAATATTATTTTACTTTAAATTAAAATATAATATATTGTACTATAATTACTAATTAATATTATTAATTATTATATTACATTATATTATATTATATTAGAATGTTATACTATATAATAATTAATATAATATAAGATCAGTATATTTAATATAATATTTTAATAATATAATAATTAATATAATACATTATTTTAATATAAATATATATATAATTTTGTTGACATTAGTTCATGACCAACCAACTTGTACAGCGTTGAGCGAAAGCCTGGTAGTTTTCTGAATTTGTTTCCCAACTTGAGGGCTTAATTATCTTGAAAAAAAAAACTTGGGTTAAAGTAATAATTCCAAATTAGTTGGATGTTTGTTATGCGAAATTCATCCAATACAATCACTGGCTCCGTAGGAACAAATATTTCAAACCTTCTGGACAAATTAAACCCAGCACAACGAGATCGCAAACAAAAAGTATATATATTAGAAAAAAGATAATGTTAAACCAAAAAAGTCTATATTACCGGCTGGCTTCTAGTGTTAAGCTAACTCATACCTACTAATAAATTCAAGCATGTTCAAAGGTTTTTAGATTCTATATTGCCTTCAAGCTCGCCTAATCTTAATTTGTCTTAGCGCTAATCTAAACTTCAGACAGCTAGTACAACGACATTAACCCGACATAAACGTGTCTAGAACCATTATTTAATTAATGCAGTTGTCTTGATTACTTGCATTAAAGGGGGATAAAACCAAAAGAAAGTTTTTTAAACATGAAATTAGGAACCACAGAGCTAGATCTAAATCTAGGGATTGATAGAGAAAATTCACAGCAATATAAAAACTAAGCGTCGGTGGACACCTGCTAACGGACGGATCGGGATCCTCTACTAATAAGGAGGTTCCTAATATCTCCTAATGGGACTTTGGCATTTGATTTATCAATCAAAGGCCAAGATCTCCTCATGAGTAAAAGTAGGGGGAGGATAAGGATGAGATATTAACCTTGGATTGATAAATCAAAGGCTAAGATCTCTTTATTAGAAGATATTAGGAACACTATGCATTAGTAAATTATCCCAATATCTAACGGATAAGAAAATGCAGATTAAAACTAAGTACGTAACTAAAAGACTAGAGAAGACGAGAGCCTGTGGCAGTAAATTAAAGTGCTTCCAAAAATATAAATCCAGAAGAACAGAGAAAACTAAAGATGTATAACCTGCAAAAACTTCACAACCAAAAAAGAAAAAATTATTCAAATTATTAGAACTCTTTGAGAAGCAAAATTGACACAACTGATGCAGATAATTATCTTTTGAGAAAGGAAAGAGAATCACATGACGGATATAACATAATGTGGCGAGACCTTGATCTCGTCGTAACAATTCTCTCAGATTGTTTTTTGATCTCCAATTATATTTTCTTTTCTAAGATCTTGTTTGAAGTCTGCAGCAAGAAAATGATAGGCCGTGCTTTGCACGGTGTTCACGACTAGTATATATATATCTGTAGGCGTTGAAAATTGCCTATAGCTCTTCACAAACAGCTTGAAGCTAAGAGGAGACGATAAACGTCACTATCCAAGTCACGGAAGCTTGATTGACGTCGACGAATGCTTGAAATGAATCGACGAGCTATGTGAAGCAACGGAGTTTCAGAATAACGAGAATACAAACTGATCAGGAGTCTCGTGTCGCTTACAAAAGGCGAAACGCCATTCGTGTCTCATTTATTCCACATATGATTCAATCATGGAAGCCTGTAGATCTCCTCGTCGGCTTTCCAACGCATCTTGAATCACGTGATTCCGAGTTCGGATGAAGAAAATACGGCGGAAACGAACAAGACACGCCAAACCAAACCCCGGACCTCGTCGAGACACCCAGAAGTGTCTGCAAGACACTAAGAAGTGTCTGCAATACCTATGAAGTGTCTGCAATACCCAGAAGTGTCTGGAAGACACTATGAAGTGTCTACAATACCTAGAAGTGTCTACAATACCTAGAAGTGTCTGCAATACATCAAAAATGTCTGCAAGACATCAGAAGTGTCTGCATACATCAGAAGTGTCTGCAATCATCAGAAGTGTCTGCAACACATCAGAAGTGTCTGCAATACATCAGAAGTGTCTGCAATACACTATGAAGTGTCTGCAATACTCAGAAGTGTCTGCAATACATCAGAAGTGTCTGCAAAACACTCAGAAGTGTCTGCAATACATCAGAAGTGTCTGCAATACTCAGAAGTGTCTGCAATACATCAGAAGTGTCTGCAATACATCAGAAGTGTCTGCAATACTCAGAAGTGTCTGCAATACATCAGAAGTGTCTGCAATACTCAGAAGTGTCTGCAATACATCAGAAGTGTCTGCAAAACACTCAGAAGTGTCTGCAATACCTAGAAGTGTCTGCAATACATCAGAAGTGTCTCCAATACATCAGAAGTGTCTGCAAAACACTCAGAAGTGTCTGCAATACATCAGAAGTGTCTGCAATACTCAGAAGTGTCTGCAATACATCAGAAGTGTCTGCAAAACACTCAGAAGTGTCTGCAATACCTAGAAGTGTCTGCAATACATCAGAAGTGTCTGTAATACATCAGAAGTGTCTGCAAGACACTCAGAAGTGTCTGCAATGCCTAGAACGCGGATTTTGGCTGTTTTGTGCAGTTTTTCGATATTAACCGCCTGGATTCACCAGAGCCTATAAATACAGCCCTAGAACCTTTATTTTTGGGGGGAGATCTGGAATTCTCGATCGTTGGCGAAGCCCTGCCGGACTGAAGATTAAAGGTGCACGAATTTTAGAGAGGAGGATGAGAGATCGGATCGAGTTCATCGGCATAAAGAAGAAGAGCTCGTCAGATCTGCAGTTCTCGTGTTCGTCCCTTAAGATTACCCCGTTGTGGTGATCTTAAGAAGAGCAATTATCTCGCTGTTGCCGAGATAAGCGCTACGGCTTCTTTATTCCTTCGCGAATCGACGAAGCTCTGCCCAATTTTTCAGCAATCAGATCTGATCAACAGTGGTCCAAGGATATCAACGTCCCCGTCACAGGCCAAGATCCCACGCAAGCAGAAGACCGATAAACGATCTCTGCGCTGTTTGAAGAGAATTGTACTTTTGTTTTGTTTTCATTGTGTAAAAGTCTTATAAAAAGACTAATTTTTGTTTTCGTTGTAAACGTCTGAAGTTTGTAATGAACACCGCAATGGATCAAACGATTTTCTCCGCAAACAATATCGAACAAAGCTAAAGCCGCTAAGGTGAGGAAGGCAAGAAGACCTGCAAAGAAACCGCAGCAGTCTGACTGTCCTTGAGCTTCTGTTCCTGCTCATTCGCCAACATCGATTTTGGTTCTAAAACAAACCTCAGATGACCGCTAAAAGATAAGGTTTTCTTGGAAAGGATTGAGTTTTCCAGCTCTCAAGGAATAAGCACTCTTCCTACAAAGCAACAAGTTTCATTCACATAGTCAGACCAGAAGATACAAATAGTTACTAAGAATTAACAAATAATAAACTACAACTTGGACTATTCAGCATTTAGGCTCTCATCATCAGATTTCCATAAAGGATGAATGACCCTTGTGCCTTGGAATTCCAATCCATAGAAGAGCGAAGAGTGAAATTTTCAAATTCTGCATTCGATACTTTCAAGGCATTAGGAATCTGAAGATAGTTAACGAAGAAAATATGAGGGAAACAGAGAACAGAAGTGCCAACAGATCATAGTTTCCGCTTGTTGCAGACTATGAAGCACGGACACGCATAACATGAAGCCGTGTCGTGTCGTGTCCGTGTCGGACACACGTGTCGAACACACGTATCCTATGTATTTTTTAGGATTTGCCTCGTGTCGGCATGTCGGATGGCCGTGTCGGATCCGTGTCCGTATTTTTTAGGATTTGCCTCGTGTCGGCATGTCGGATGGCCGTGTCGGATCCGTGTCCGTGCTACATAGGTTGCAGATAGGATTTTCTTATGCTCTTAAATTATTCACTGACCGAACTGAAACATTTGAGTAGCTAAAGGAAGGAAAAGCGGCGACACAGAACATCTGAAAAGTTCACAAACGATTCACGCAGAAAAGAAAAAAGCAAACCTGTTTATTGCACAAAAAAGGGAGTAAAAGATGGTTAATGCTGAAAGAAGAGTATGACAATACAGAAAGCCTCTTGGACTCGCTCAATGACATTGAGTATATCATTCAGACGAGAGCAGGGGTCGAACCAGGATATTCACACAGTAAGAGCATACAACTACATAAACCCGTAGAAATTACCGAATTCTCTCAAAATAAAATTACAATGATTGATAACTGAACATATCCCTCTCACTACTTTAGTAGTAGAACTTATCATATGGTAATAAAGGATATTCTGCCATAATCGAACTACTTACTATCTGCAAAAGACTAAATAGTCAGCTATAATTAAGTCTCCCTAAGATTGTATCCAAATAACCAATAGCTAGAGGATTATTATTATTATTATTATTTTGGGTGATTGTATAGGCAGCAAGACTAGTGATAATTGTCATAAGGCTTAATGCACTATAACTAAAAAAGGCAATAAAAACGAAACAAAAAGTGTAATCTAATGGCAAGATCATGAAACATTTAGTATCAAATTATAATAGCTTTTTAAAGATATTACTAGTGTAAAAACCATTTAGGTTCTACATCGATTAATGTTCTATTTAGATTCACAAAAGTACTCAGGTTTGGATTCAGATCAGACAAAATTAGCTATGAAAGCCATAATTCAGACTCGAATTCAATAGTAGTAAGAAAGTTCCATATAGTAATATTTTTTTTTCTTTTTTTATTGCATTGTATAGGTTGATATTTATAATTTTCCATTGACTTGACTATTTTCAATTGGAAAAAGGATAATTATGTCAGACAAAGCTCAGTAGCAAAAAAACAGAGAAAGCCCCTCATGCATCAAGCTCTTTCAATGTTAATGGAACATCTGAGAACAATGATTCGACATGGTTTCATAGTAAGAGAAGTATCTTTTGGGTATTTTTGGTATTTGTGGACATTTATATCTATTTTTTATCTTGTATGAGGCCGATTTATGTAAAATGTTTATAATATGCAGAAGAAAAAAATTACTTGTCATGAAATGGCCAAACACATCCGTAAGGTGATTGGTGATGATTTGATTGTTTCTGCGATCAAGCCCTATACTAATGAGGTATGACCACAGTCTCAAACAATTTATAGTTTTCTTTAGTTGGAAGCTTATAACAACATAAACTGTCTAGCTTAGAATCTGAAATCTCGATGATCCTATATATCTGTCACTTTATTGCCAAATCAAATCTCATCTCATTGCATAATTAAATATATGTTATGTCAGTAAGATCAAAGTTAGATATCTATTAAAAGTCCAATAATTGCCAAAATACGTATGATTCGTGATTTAAAATTTTGTATTAATTTAATTTTGCTAAACTAATATTAAGGATATGATGTATCTATTTGGCATTAACTCTTCTTTAAAGTTTTAGTGTGAAAACCAAAAACAAAAGACATTAAATTCTGACATGCGATAAGAGTAAAAGGTTATCAAATCAAATATATAGAGTAGGAACAAAACTTAAAGAATACTTCAATATGATATATATGGCATATGTTTAGAGATGTTGTAGTATAAATACCTACAAAGAACTGTGATTTTATATTAATTGAACAAGAAGTATTTCATTATAACACCATGCTTATAGACTCTCATCTAAATGGTACAATATATAATATAATGCTTTTATTAAACCTATATATGTACACACACACACACACACAAACACACATACACACACATACATACATACATACATACATACATACATACATACATATATGTATGTATATATATGTATATTTATGTAAATGTATATGTATATGTATACATACATACATATATACATACATAATACACACACACGTGTGTGGTGTGGCATATATAATATATATATATATATATAAATATATATATATATATATATATATATATATATATATATTATATAATATATATATAATATATATATATATATATATAATATATATATATGTATATGTATATATAATTGGCTCTTGGCAAAAATCATTTACCAAAAAAAAAATTTCATTTACCAAAAAAAAAAATATTTTTTCTGGTTTTGTTGTGCTCTCATTTCAAAAATTGGAAAATGAATAAAAAAAATTTCATTTACCAAAAAAAAAAGTACAAATCATCTCTTAGCAAAAATCATTTATAACGCCCCACAGTGGTCCCACAGGTTCGGTGTTAGGCGCTTGGACTAAGAGGTCCAGGATCGATTGGTGTCTGTGTCACACCCATGTCCCAGATATTCCATATGGGTATTCATCACTCATGTTGTTTACATGGCCCCGAGGCAGCAAAGGGTACCTAGTGGCTCCAGGGCTTTTCTTGGATAGTTCAATCAGGCTTGTATTGGGGTGAGGTTTGGGCCCCCTATAGATGGCATTGGTATGGAGTTGGAGCCCCCTAAAGCTGGGTGCACTCCTTTTGAGTTGGGAGAGCTCAGACTCTGAATCTCGTTTCTGAATGTTTGGGAGTGGTCACAACTTGGACCTCGTTCCTATAATACCTAAGCCACCTAGCCAAGGTTCCTTGTCACAAACAAAAACCTTCATTTACTCGTACCCAAAGTGTTAGGTTTGGGATGGATACCAACCTCCGACGGCGGAGGATCTCCAACGAGCTCGGAGATGTCGCAGGCGAACGCGACCCTCAGATGGCGAACGCGACCCTCAGTCGGCGAACGCGATGGTGGCTTTGGGCGAACGCGACCCTCGGTGTTTGGCGACTCCGACCCCCGCGTTCAGAGCTCCGACCTCCGCGTTTCAGCGCCCACGCTCGCGTCCGTTCGTGCGCTGGCGACAGGCTGTCGCCAGCTTGTCAAAATTTCGGCTATAAAAGAAGCCCCCCCGAGCCCTAGGGTTTGTGCTTTTTCCCCTTCCTCCGATTTCTCTCTGGCTGGCGGCGACCCAAAAACGCAGCGGCGTTTTTCCCCATCTTCGGCTCTGAAATCGCAGCAGCGATTTTACTCCTTTTAATCTCCAGCTCTCAGGTGTTTTGAGGGGAGATTAGAAAAGGATGAGAGAGAGAGAAGGATAAAAGAGGGGTTTTATTGTGAGAGAAATTGAAAGGGTTTATTCCCTTTAATATTAACACTGTAGCTACAGTGTTTAATCTGAGAAATCTCAGTTTAGAGATTTGCTCTTGATTTGTAATTTCTTGTTAGATTAAATAAGAAATTGACTGTGTGGCTCCCGAGGACGTAGGCAGTTGCCGAACCTCGTTAAATCTTGTGTACTGTTCTCTATACTGCGTTTCTGTTGCATTAGGGATTTCGACGTTAAATTCCCAACAACTGGTATCAGAGCTTAAAACGATCTAGAGGAAGTCAGATTCAAGTGGGAGCCATGGCCGCAGATGAGGGAAAGGTGAGAATAGAGAAGTTTGATGGATCAGATTTTGGATTCTGGAAAATGCAGATAGAGGATTATCTGTATCAGAAAAATCTGTATCAACCTCTCTCGGGGAAGAAGCCGGAGGGTATGAAGGAAGAAGATTGGAATCTTCTGGACAGAAAAGCCCTCGGGGTTATTCGTTTGACGCTAACCCGCAATGTTGCTTTTAACATTGCAAAGGAGAAGACCACGGTGGGTCTTATGGCAGCACTCTCAAATATGTATGAGAAGCCATCAGCCTCAAATAAAGTCCATTTAATGAGGCGGTTGTTCAATCTGCGAATGGCGGAAGGTGCATCGGTAGCACATCATCTCAATGAACTCAATACAGTCACGACCCAATTGAGTTCAGTTGATATTGAGTTTGATGAGGAAGTTCGAGCGTTGATCCTTTTGCACCGGTAGCACATCATCTCAATGAACTCAATACAGTCACGACCCAATTGAGTTCAGTTGATATTGAGTTTGATGAGGAAGTTCGAGCGTTGATCCTTTTGTCTTCCCTACCAGAGAGTTGGAACGCTACAGTCACACCTGTGAGTAGCTCGTCGGGAAAGAGAAAGTTGAAGTTTGACGACGTTCGTGATCTGGTTCTCAGTGAGGAGATCCGACGGAGAGAGTCGGGTGAAGCTACAACCTCTTCAGTATTGCATACAGAGTCAAGAGGTAGAAGTTCAACCAGAGGAAATGGATCAGATGATAGGAGATCCAAATCTAAAAATCCCAACAGTTCGAAGGCTATCGAGTGTTGGAAGTGAGGGAAAACCGGACACTACAAGAATCAGTGCAGGAGTGCACGGGAGGAGTGGGAGGCAAATGCAGATGTAAACGTTGCCTCCACTTCAGGAGGAGATGATGCGTTGATATGCTCTTTGGAGAGCAAGGAGGAGTCTTGGGTGTTGGACTCGGGAGCATCGTTCCATGCTACTTCTCAGAAAGAATTCCTCGAGAAGTATATCCCCGGAAACCTTGGAAATGTATATCTTGGTGACGATCAAGCATGTGCCATTATTGGCAAAGGTGTAGTGAAGATTAAGCTGAATGGGTCAGTATGGGAGCTGAAGGATGTCAGGTATATTCCCGACCTGAAGAGGAACTTAATCTCAGTAAGCCAGCTGGCTAGTGAAGGCTACACGATGACTTTCCATGGCGATGACTGGAGGATTTCGAAGGGCGCAATGACGATTGCCAGAGACAGGAAGACCGGTACCCTGTATATGACAGCGGGTGCACGTTGTTCGATCTCAGTTGCGGTAGGCAATGAGACTTCAAAGCTGTGGCACCAGAGACTCGGTCATATGAGTGAGAAGGGGATGAAGATTATGCACACAAAAAGAAAACTCCCAGGTTTACAATCAGTAGAGATTGATATGTGTGAAGAATGCATACTTGAAAAGCAAAAGAGAGTTAGCTTTCAGACAAGTAGCAGAACCCCTAGGAAGCAGAAGCTATAGCTTGTTCACTCAGATGTTTGGGGACCAACAACCACCGCGTTAATTGGTGGGAAACACTACTTCGTGACTTTTATTGATGATCACTCTCGGAAAGTATGGGTCTACTTTCTGAAGAAAAAGTCAGAAGTGCTTGAGGCTTTCAGAAGATGGAAAGCCATGGTCGAGAATGAGACCGGTTTGAGGGTAAAGAAACTCAGAACAGACAATGGTGATGAGTATGTAGTCACCAGATTCAAGAAGTTCTGCTATGAGCACGGTATCAGAATGGAGAGGACCGTGCCCGGCACGCCTCAGCATAATGGTGTGGCTGAGCGCATGAATAGAACGTTGACAGAGAAAGCCAGAAGCATTCGGACGCAATCAGGCCTTCCGAAGCAGTTCTGGGCAGAAGCAGTCAACACAGCAGCTTACTTGATCAACCGAGGTCCATCGGTTTCATTGGAGCACAGAATACCAGAGGAGGTATGGTGCGGAAAGGAGGTAACCCTCTCACATCTCAAAGTTTTTGGTTGTGTAGCTTATGTGCATATAAGTGATCAAGGCAGGAATGAGCCTGATCCCAAGTCCAAGAAATGCACATTCATCGGGTATGGTGAAGACGAGTTCAGCTATCGCATTTGGGACAACGAAAACAAGAAGGTGATCAGGTGCAGAGATGTGACATTCAACGAGAAGGTGATGTACAAGGACATGCACAAGACAGATGACGGTGACTCAGAGAGCGAGTTAACATTTGTAGATACAGATGATGTCCCAGATAACCTCTCGGAAGAACCCAATGCAGAAGGTCCTCAGCCAGAAGAGCCTGTTGGACAGAACGGTGCGCAGGAGCCCGACGCACCAGCTCCGATATTGAGGAGAACTACTCGTCCTCCTGTGCCTAACAGCAGATACATGAATTATATGTTGCTGACAAATGGAGGAGAGTCTGAAAGCTTTGATGAAGCTTGTCAGAGTGGAGATGCGAGCAAGTAGGAGTTTGCTGCGAAAGAAGAGAAGAAATCTCTGATCTCCAACCAGTCATGGGGACTAGCTAAGTTGCCCATAGGGAAGAAGGCACGTCACAATAAGTGGGTGTATCGAGTGAAAAAGGAGCAGAATGGTTCCAGAAGATACAGAGCCCGACGAGTTGTCAAAGGATTTCAACAGAATATCCAAGGAAGAAAGGATCCAGCGGATATGTTGACAAAGGCAGCGACCTTTCAGAAACTAGATTTGTGTGCAACTTCAGTTGGCCTTCATACATAGATGATGAAGGCGGAGCCACACAGGAGAGGAGCTTGATGAGTTTGGCGTCGGTTTGGTCTCTAAGTGGGAGATTGTTAGGTTTGGGATGGATACCAACCTCCGACGGCGGAGGAGCTCCAACGAGCTCGGAGATGTCGCAGGCGAACGCGACCCTCAGATGGCGAACGCGACCCTCAGTCGGCGAACGCGACCGTGGCTTTGGGCGAACGCGACCCTCGCTCGATGAACGCGACCCTCGGTGTGAACGACCTGACCCGCGCGTTCAAGCTCGTCGACCCTCGCGTTCGAGCGACCCCCACCATCGCGTCCGCTGCACCGCTGGCGACAGGCTGTCGCCAGCCCATCAACTTCGGCTATAAACCCCCCCCCGATGCCCTAGCTCTGATGTTGTCCAATCAATCGTCACACTCATACGTCCCTGAACGATTTGATTCTCCCAGCACCGTCTTTCCCATAAAAGGCGTTGTTGTTTGATAGTGGCCTACTATGCGATGTGCTGCTATTTCAGGGTTCGTCTTTGCCCCAAGAGAAGACAAATCAGGGTTCGTCTTCATCTTTGCCCTAAGATAAG